GGTCAGGCACACCTTAGTTTCTAGACTGACATCATTGCTCTAATTTAATTCATTTTCCTTTGTAGGTGACTTTTTGTATTTCTCAGCTGCTTTTAGTATTCTCTCCTTTGTTTTGATTTTGGAGAGCTTGACAGTGAAATGTCTTGATGTTTTTCTTTTGAGGTCTCTTCTATTTGGTGTTCACTGAGATTCTAAAATGCATGTTTCCTCTTTTTTAATTATTCCTGAAAAATTTTCTTCTAGTATGTCTCCCATAAGTTCCGCACTTCCTAGTGGCATAGAGAGAAAGGAGTTGTGCTGCCAACCCAAATGATCAGGGAGGATAGAAGGAGAATTGATGTTTTTGAGCTTTGGTGTTGGAAAAGAGTTCTGAGGTTACCATGGACTGCTAAGAAAACAGATTCATCCTGGAGAGGGTTAAACAAACTGGGATGCTCCTTGGAGGCAAGGATTCTGAGACTTCATCTGACATACTTTGGTCATGTTTTAAGGAGGGACTGGTCCTTGGAGAAGGACATCATGATTGGGAGGGTGGAGGGCAGGCGCAGGAGGGGAAGGCCCTCTGGGAGATGGATTGATTCAGTGACTGGGGCAATCAGGATAAGTGTGTCAGAGACAATGAGATTGGCACAGAGCAGAGCAGAGTTTAGAGCTGTTGTACTTAGGCTCGCCATGAGTCACAAGCATCTTGACAGCACATAACAACAACATGTCTCCCATTTGTTAACAGTTTTAGTATGCTTGGCTCCACAATCAATACTCTTGGCATCAGAAGCCAGGAAATTAAAAGTCGAATTGCATTAGGGAAGTCTGCATGCAAGGATCTCTCCAGAATACTGAAAAGCAATGATGTCAATCTGGACACTAAGGTGCATCAGATTCAGGCTATAGTCTTTGCAATGACTTGCTATGCATCAGAGATCTAAACAATGACTAGGGATGACAGAAGGAGAACTGATGCCTTTGAGCTGTGTACGGGAGAAGAGTATTAAATATACTATGCACTGCTAGGAAAACAAACAAGTTCATCCCAGGGAGGGTGAAACCAGGCTGCTCCTTTTAGGCAAGGGTTCTGAGGTTTAATCTGATATACTTTGGGCAGTTTGAAAGGAGGAATCAGTCTTTGGAGAGGGATATTATGCTTGCAAGGGCAGAGGGACAGCGCAGGAGGGGAAGACCCTCGGTGAGATGGATTCATTCAGTGACTGGACATGTATATGAAAAGTATCTTATCACTCACAGCATTGTACTTCAAGACAGACCCTGAAATGTTCATTTTAACTATGAATGTAAATCCTTTCTTCTTCAATTTCTTATTCCTGGTACAATAGCTCTTATGATTGTCTGATTCAAAGTAGCCAATATCAGTCCCTTTCAGCTGACTAAAGCCTAGGATGTCTGTAAGCCTTCCCCCCGCACCACTTCAAAATTTCCTAGATTCATATTCCTTCCATAATATGTTCCAATTATCAATGGATGTTTGCAGCTACTTCTCTTTCTTTTCTAGTGTTTTCCAACATGATAGGCTCCAGGCACTACAGCTTATAATGTTATTCGTCAAATTTTCAAAGTGGATGACTAGTTCTGCTTACGTATGTCTCAGTCTGAAATAGTCACTGAAATCTTTCCCTTGTAGGACAGCATAAAATTTCCCAACAAGGTTTCCAGGACAGTAATCATTATAGAAAACAATTGCCAAATTTTCTCCTATGGACTGACTCACGGATTCAAACTACAGACTATAAGTTATTGCTCTTTCCCGCTGTGCCACCAAGGCTCTTGAGCAATTTGAAAATATGCCACAAATTTCTGGTTCTTACTTTTCGTTTAAAAAGCCTAGGGGTTGGGGGGAGACTGAGAAAGATGAGATAAATAATGTGTACTTCATTGAAACAAATGAGGGAGAGAACTGTTTAAAAGGGATATATGATTGATATTACTGTTATGACAGGAGTCCAGAACAACGGTAGCATAGTGGAGTGGACCTGGAGGAAGGGATTGTATAACAATGAAAGAATTTTTCTTTTACTTTTCAAAGAGAAGAGTGAATGGGGGGGCGGGGCAGGGAAAAAAGTGCAACAGTGAATGAATGGAAATCCAAAGTCTCTGTAAACGTTCATTAAAATAATTTTTTTAAAAAACGTCATTTAGCACTCCTTTTTGTGCTGCTTTATAGCACTTGAGTCTTTTAATTTGCCTATGTTGAAGATCAATAGGCAGAATCATGATGGATGGAGAGGAGATTGAAACTGTCAACAGATTCATCTTGCTTGAATCCACAATTAACACCTTTGGTACAAGCAGTCAAGAAATAAGACACATTGCACTGGGAAAATCTGCTGCAAGGGACCTTTCCAAATTATTGAGTAGTAATGATGTCAGTTTGAAGACTAAGGTGCATCTGATTTAGGCCATAGTCTTTCTGATTACTAGCTATCCATCAGAGAGCTGGACAATGAATAAGGATGACAGAAAGAGAATTGACATCTTTGAGCTATGGTGTTGAAGAAGATATGTCTTGGGGAGGGTGTGGTTGAAGTGCTCTTTGGAGGCAAGAATGATGAGACTTTGCCTCACATACTTTGGGCATGTTATTAAGGGGGTTATTTCTTGGAGAAGGACATGATGTTGAGAAGCGTGGAGGGTTGGTAAAAGAGAGAGAGACCCTTAACCAGGTAGATTGACATGGTGACTGCTGCAATGGGCTCTTACGTGTCTTCTGTGGGAAGTGTGAGGATAGCACAGGATAGAAAAGGCTTCAAATCTTTTGTTCATAGGCTCATTATGAGTCCCACTAGACACAACGGCACCAAACAACAACAACATGTTGAAGATAGTCTTTCTTAATTTTTTATTTTCACAAGTTTCAATATATTGTGCCAGGAGCGGATTTTTTAAAAAAATTATTTATCCATCCTGAACTTTGTAGGTCTTTTTTCTACATGTATTTTATCACCACTGGACCAATTGGTAGCATCAGGATGGATGGCGAAGAGATTGAGATTGTTCACAGCTTCAGTTTGCTTGGCTCCATGGTCAACACTCTTGGCACCAGTAGCCAGGAAATTAAAAAATGCATTTCCATGGGAAAGTCTGCTGTTAGGGACCTCTCTAAAGTACTCAAGAGCAATG